CTTTCATGCATAGTTTGGTCATGATAATTTACTTCTGTAGTATTCCAAAGTCCTTCATAGCATCCCATATACTGTTTATGTATACACTATCACATGCCTTTTTAAAGCCCACAAAAACCGTTTGTACAACTCTTCCATATTCCAAATTTTACTCTGCTGTTTGCTGTAACTTGAATATATGATCTGTTTTACTAAAGATGTGAAGTTCAAATCCTTCAAAACGAATGCCTCCCCCCCCCCCCCAGGCTCCCCCCCCCCCCAAGCGTGCCCAACACTGATTTATAGCTACTGTAGATGAATATAAATCACACAAAGTTGCTACAGCGCAGCACTTTTGTGATTCTATAATTAGAGTATTTCGGTGTTTTAGATTGGTATCAAAATATATTTACAATTGTGGTATTCCAAAATAAGTCATAAACCCATAAACAACGGATGAATACAACTAAGAAAGATGCCTTTTCTAAAGCCCAGCGAACCTAGTTGATACACTCTTCCATATTCCAAATTTTTCCCTGCTGGAGTCGCTGGCACGGAATATCTGAGAATGTTTGTCAAAGATGGCACCGTGTCAAAGTCCTTCAAAAGTTGCCTTGCACCCCCCCCCACCCCCCCCCCCCCCCCGGTGCCCAGTACTGAATGTTAGCTACTGTAGATTTCTATAAATCACGTTTTCTGTCTGTTGCTAACTGATACTAGCGCAGCACTTTTGTGATTCTATCTATCTATCTATCTATTTCGGTCTATTTATCTTGGTATCTTTCTATCTATTTACATCTATCTAGATATCTATCTATCGTAAACAGCAAATCTACGGGAATCTATCTATCTATCTATCTAAAAGACTATCTGATCTCTATCTATCTATCGATCTATCTATCTATCTATCGCTCTCTGTCTCTAGGAACTCTTCTGTCTATCTAGTCTGCTGTCTGTGTGAGAAGTCTCGTTTGTCTGTCTCGCTGGCACCGTGTGAGGAGTCTGGTGTCTATCTCATCTCTCTGCACTCACCTGTCTGTCTGTCTGTCGTTCGTCTGCTCGCAGTATCCTTGGGGCTGAATATTTCTGGCTGCGCTGTCTAACTGGCGTTACTATCTGTCTGTCTATCTATCTATATATCTATCTGTTTCTTCTTTGTCTGTTCTATCTATCTATCTGATCTATCTATCTATCTATCTATCTGTCTGTCTGTCTATCTATCTATCTATCTATCTATCTATCTATCTTATCTATCTATCTATCTATCTATCTATCTATCTATCTATCTATCTATCTATCTATCTATCTATCTATCTATCTATCTATCTATCTATCTATCTATCTATCGTATCTATCTATCTATCTATCTATCTATCTATCTATCTATCTATCTATCTATCTATCGTCTGTCTCGGGATCGTCGTCTGTCTGTCTGTCTGTCTGTCTGTCTGTCTATCTATCTATATCTATCTATCTATCTGTCTGTCTGTCTGTCTGTCTGTCTGTCTGTCTGTCTGTCTGTCTGTCGTGTCGTCTGTCTGTCTCGTCTGTCTGTCTGTCTGTCGGTCGGTCGGTCGGTCGGTCGGTCGGTCGGTCGGTCGGTCGGTCGGTCGGTCTGTCTGTCTGTCTGTCTGTCTGTCTGTCTGTCTGTCTGTACGTACGTACGTACGAACGTACATGTCTCTGTACGTCCGTCTGTTTGTCTGTATTTTAGAATCAATATTAGTAAATATTTGGTGGTCTCCGTGTTTCTGTTCCATGTGTCTGTGGGTCGCGCTAACATTGTTAATGCTCTTAGAGAGATGCGAGGATCGGATGGAGCATGTTAACATTACTGCTAAGTATGGAAGAATTGGGAGTTAAGATCGTCATAGTCAGGCATGAGAGGCACACCGGACGTACAAGAAGTCATGTTAACCAGCATATGACTGGCACTTTTAACCTCGGGATACTAATGTATATGTTGAAGGGGGAAACTGAGCACAAATTGAGGTGTCCAGAGTGCCGCAAAAATAACTCGTAACTTCGACGGCAGAAGATGGGCCACTACCTGTCCATTTTTAAAAAAAAAATGTTACAGAAACCATGAGTTGTAAACTAATTGGCTCGGTCCTATGGACATCGCAACCTTTCAGCTTGATTCCATGATAGATACCGTCAGTCTGAGAAATATGTGGCTTTTCTGCCTACCCCCGAGCGCTGCCTACCCCTGAGAGCGAACTCAGACACAAGGAGTTGGAGTTATAGAACTCAGACCACAAAGAGTTGGAGTTATAGAACTCAGACCACAAGAAGTTGGAGTTATAGAACTCAGACCACAAAGAGTTGGAGTTATAGAGCTCAGACCACAAAAAGTTGGAGTTATAGAACTCAGACCACAAGAAGTTGGAGTTATAGAACTCAGACCACAAGAAATTGGAGTTATAGAACTCAGACCACAAGAAGTTGGAGTTATAGAACTCAGACCACAAGAAGTTGGAGTTATAGAACTCAGACCACAAGAAGTTGGAGTTATAGAACTCAGACCACAAGAAGTTGGAGTTATAGAAAGACCACAAGAATTTGGAGTTATAGAACTCATACCACAAGAAGGAGTTATAGAACTCAGACTACAAAGAGTTGGAGTTATAGAACTCAGACCACAAGAAGTTGGAGTTATAGAACTCAGACCACAAGAATTTAGAGTTATAGAACTCAGACCACAAGAAGTTGGAGTTATAGAACTCAGACTACAAAGAGTTGGAGTTATAGAACTCAGACCACAAGAAGTTGGAGTTATAGAACTCAAACCACAAGGAGTTGGAGTTATAGAACTCAGACCACAAGAAGTTGGAGTTATAGAACTCAGACCACAAAGAGTTGGAGTTATAGAACTCAGACCACAAGAAGTTGGAGTTATAGAACTCAGATCACAAGAAGTTGGAGTTATAGAACTCAGACCACAAGAAGTTGGAGTTTTAGAACTCAGACCACAAGAAGTTGGAGTTATAGAACTCAGACCACAAGAAGTTGGAGTTATAGAACTCAGACCACAAGAAGTTGGAGTTATAGAACTCAGACCACAAGAAGTTGGAGTTATAGAACTCAGACCACAAAGAGTTGGAGTTTTAGAACTCAGACCACAAGAAGTTGGAGTTATAGAACTCAGACCACAAGAAGTTGGAGTTATAGAACTCAGACCACAAGGAGTTGGAGACCCGGGTGCGTTAAAACCTAAACCAACTGAGCTAGCGCGCCGGGCAAAACATTTTCTTTAAGGCTACGTCACGAGAACCACGGCCTCTCAAAAAATAGTTTGAGAATCACTGAACTGTTTGACCCTTAGTGACACTGCTGCAGACTTAGCTTTGTTGCAGTGTTTTCATTCAGGCGTCAGTCCTGGTCCTACTGGACTAATTGTTGACAGAACTGTGGCAGATCTTTTTTTATCCTTTTATTTGTCTGACCATCTCCCCCATTCTCATGTGCTATCTATTGTAGTTTTATTCCGGGTTGTCCATCCCCTGGTGAATTGTTGCCGTGATAATCGCCATCACGTAGTGTCACGGACACTCCCATCGCTTGTCGGCTGAAAGACTGTCCGTTGATTCCCTTTCTTCCAGTGGAATCCTTTGTTATCACCCGGTTTCTTTTTTGTGTCTTGTATCCATGCAGGCATCACGCAGTACACAGAAATAAACAGACTAGGAACTGTAGCTTTCGATTTCTTTGTTGTTTAGTGTGTTCCATCTTTCTGTTGGAGTGCTTATTTCTGACGGCTTTCTGTTGTGAAATGTGTCCTTCTATCATTCTACTTATTTCTATGGTCATCCATCAGTACATTTTAAAATAGATAGATAGATAGATAGATGATAGATAGATAGATATATAGATAGATAGATAGATGATAGATAGATAGATAGATAGATAGATAGATAGATAGATAGATATATAGAAGATCGATAGATAGATAGATAGAATAGATAGATAGATAGATAGATAGATAGATAGATAGATAGATAGATAGATAGATAGATAGATAGATAGATAGATTAGATAGATAGATAGATCGATAGATAGATAGAGATAGATAGATAGATAGATAGATAGATAGATAGATAGATAGATAGATGGGCATAGATGGATGATAGTAGATGGGTAGATAGATGGATAGCTACACTAGATAGCTAGATAGATAGATAGATAAGATAGATAGATAGATAGATAGATGGATCTCGCTAGATAGATAGATTCTAGATAGATAGATAGATCGAAGATAGATAGAAGATAGATAGATAATAGATAGATAGATAGCTAGATAGATAGATAGATAGATAGATAGATAGATAGATAGGTAGAGTGGGTAGGTTGGTGGGTGGTCTTATGGATAGATAGCTAGATAGATAAGATAGATGGGTGGGTGGGTGGATAGATAGGTAGATGGATAGATGGATAGAAGATAGATAGCTCATAGATAGATAGATAGATAGATAGATGACGAACGGACGGACGGACGACGGACCGACGGACTCGACGACGGACGACGGACGGACGGACCCGACGGACGGACCGACGGACGACGGACGGAATGGACGGACGGACGGACGACGCGCGGACGACGGACGGACAGACAGACAGACAACAGACAACAGACAGACAGACAGACAGACAGACAGACGACAGACAGACAGACAGACAGACAGACAGACAGACAGACAGACAGACAGACAGACAGACAGACAGACAGACAGACAGATGACTAGTCCCTGCTTGGCGTTCTACAATGCACACATTCCTTTCTCTGTTGATGTTTGAGCAGTTCCTTTTGACGACAGGTAAGAAGAAGAAGAAAAAGAAGAAAAAGAAGAAGAAGAAGAAGAAGAAGAAGAAGAAGAAGAAGAAGAAGAAGAAGAAGAAGAAGAAGAAGAAGAATTACCGCTTATATAACCATTAACAGTCATCACCACTGTCATTTTCATCATCATCGTCTTTATCGTCACCAACCTCATACTAAATATTCCATTCTCTTGTACTCTTTTCAGCGGCGTCGACACCGGGAGTTTGGTAAAATGTTCCGAGAGCAGTTTGGGCCTCGGCACAACGTGGCCATCGCCGACCCGGCCCTGGTGGAGGAGATCTTGAGGAAAGAGGGCAAGTACCCATCTAGACCTCCTTACGAGTCCTGGGTACTGTACAGCAGCCTGAGAAACCGAAGAGGTGGCTTGATGACATCGTGAGTGTTTCTCTCATTTCTGTTGTCCACTTTTCTGTTTCGTCTGTTTCCGTGTGTAGAGGCTGGACACTGGCGTGCGGGTTTGAGGGTCGTGGATTCTAATCCGCTTGGTGTCAGATGTTGGTGTATTTGGAAGCATTACCTTGGCTCTTAGATAGACCCAGTCTTGAATGATTATCACTTAAATTGCTGGGAAGTAAAAGCGGCTGATGTGATGCTGATATGCTGGTCTAGAGAACATATGAGTCTAGCCTCATACGCTGGAGGGGCCTCTGGCGTGTAGAGGGAAATCTATTTACTTGACCTACTTCTCATAGTCATCGCTTTGTGGCGTTGGTAGTCATGTCTGTCCACAACCTTCTGTCTCGTGTACTTTCAGTCAACTCTGACACAGATGGTCCTCCATGCCTTGTAACGTTGGTAGTCTTGTCTTTCCACAACCTTCTGTCTCGTGTACTTTCTGTAAGCTCTGACACAGATGATCTTCCATACCATGATGTCAAACTGTTCAGCATATTCTCTCTTGGTCTCTTCCTCTGCCCCTTTTCCTCGTAATCTTTTCCATTGCCACGATGTATTTACTTTTCTTCTTTTAATGACAGGACCAAAGAAAAGTAGATTGGCCCCTTCTGGTGAAGGCAGTCAGTTTTCTTTATGGATCATTTTCTTTCAAGACATCTTTATTACTTTTATTTATTTTTTTCTGTCTTTGGTATTCTCATCATTTCCATAAAAGTACCCGTCCAGACCGCCCTACTAGTCCTGGTCCGGCCATCTTCAATTAATGCAGCACCTGCCATTCTATCAGCTCTCTCATTACCAACAACGCCTGCATGCTCTGGGAGTACTCAGTCTATGTCAGAGGAGTCATATCTATCCACATCTCCACCGCTTGAAAATCAATCGTTCAACTGTCAATGATTCACTTCTGTAAATTTAGATAGGATTTATTAACTCTTGAAATGTCTCTTTCTCACTTTAGTTGAGAAAAAAAGCTTGCATAAAATATAGTGCATTTTGTAAAATGCTGTCTTTTTTGAGTTATTATGCATGTTTAATAATTCTTCCATCTGCCATTGTTGGGAAACCCAAGTACTTCAACTGATCACGCGCATTCATTCATCATCATCTTATAAAAAGAATCAAATATCTGAGAGACCGTGTTATTTCCATTGGTTGCTATTTATCCACGATACACTGTCAAGTCTTAAAGTAAGTTCTTTGTTTGAAAGGGTTTTTCGAAGACGTCTTCATTGCGTCAGGTTTAATACGCTCAAATTCTCTCCGTAAATTGACATGTGAAAGCGATGCACAAAGCACGAACTGAAAAACTTCAACAGCAACCCACAGACACCTTCGACAGCGTCAAGCAAACATCCTATCCACCTCGCCACATGAAACCCACATGAAACCAAACAATCTAAAGAACTGCTAAAGCCACATCCTAACTTTTAAATCCCCTGAACTCTTTGAGATTCCCGCCACACGCTGAAAGAGCCAGACCCGCCCGCTGTTTAGCGTGCCGGGTCCTAGCGTATGCTGAAGTACTCAGATTACTTTTGTCAACTGTGAGAAGGAGGGACAGCATTCAAGAAGGTCTCTGGGTTGCAGAGTGGGGACCTGTTCACGTTTCTGTGCCCATCTACACACTTTCTCAGTTATGAGTTAGATTACCTTCACAGCAGTCCGAACACATCCATAGGCGCTCAGATTCCCCTCTCAACATATTCATCAGCGTCGTGTTGTTAATAGTACCAGTCCTATGTTGGTTAACAAGACTTCGTGTGCGTCCGGTGTGCTTCTCATGCTTGGCTGTGCCAATCTTTACTTCCAGTTCGCGTATTCTTAGCAGTGATGTGGACACGTTGCATCCAAAATCCCAGAAGGTCCTATTTCTCTAAGGGCAATGACAATGTCTGCATGATCCCTGGGCCGGCCATCTTCAATTAATGCAGCACCTGCCAGTCAATCAGCTCTCTCGTTACCAACAACGCCTGCATGCCCTGGGACGACTCAGTCTGATCTATGTCAGAGGGGTGTCACGTTGTACTGCTTTCGACGAAAAGAGTCTCTCGTGTGTCCTAAGCTCAGGCTGTGGGGGGGGGGGGGGTTAGGTTAGGGCCAGTTCTAGATGGTTAGCGCCAGTTCTAGATGTTCTAGGGTCGTTGAAAGCTGTGTTGTCGTGTCGTACTGAACACGCCACATCGGCGCTAATGCAACTGAAGGCAAGACAATGTAACATTACTACGGCGTAGAAGAGTCTGAGAAAATATGAATGAAAGGTCAACCAGTGTGTAGATGGGCTGGGAAACGTGAACTGAACCCAGAGTGGTTAAATCTATAGACTTATGTGTAATATTACTGCTACAAGGAAACGAATGCGACACTGCCAGCGCCACCTTGGTGTCGACTGTGTGAAATAAGGGTTATTTAGGCCAGCGGTTTTCAAACTCTTTTATCACCCAGCGCCCTTGTCGGGCACAAATTTGTCGCCGCACACCTACCTTTAAAGCGGTTTAATACTTGGGGGGAACAACAGTGCACATTTAATGTTTGGTTGTCTTTAATGCGATGAATGAAACTGTTTAGATAATTTGTTCATTATTGCCATTAAATATATGTTTAGTTTAGGTAATTGTACCCTCACATCATTTACCAATATCATTGCTTTCTGAATACTTCACCCAGAACTGTTGTTGGCTACTTTTACAGTATTTCTGTTTTAAACTGCTGTCTTCGCTGATCTCAAAAGATTTTGCCGTGGCACCCCTGGCATACCATCGCGGCACCCCTGGCATACCATCGCGGCACCCCTTCCATACCATCACGGCACCTCTCGCAAATGCTCGCGGCACCCAGTTTGAGAACCGCTGATAGAGGCCATTGGCATCAGAACCTCTGGATTTCGGATACCCTTCCACAGGACATGTTTAAGTGGGGCTGAGGGGGGGGGGGGGGACTCCTTATGTTTGGTTTATTGGGGTCGTCTACGCCCCTGGTTGTGTCGAGGTGTAATATGCTGTTTGGACCCGGCTGATCGTCAACCAGTCAACTAACTAATCAGTCGTAATTCAGTCAGTCAATCTACATTCGGTCAGTTAATCTACTTTCAGTCAGTCAGTCTACATTCAATCAGGTAATAAATCACCCAGCTAATCAGTCGTAATTTAGTCAGCCGGTATACTTTCAATCAGTCAGTCAACCAACTAATCAGTCAGTCAGCCATCCAAGGATCAACCAACACATCAGTCAACCAGTCATCCAGTCAGTAATCACCCAGCCAATCAGTCAACAAAATAACCAATCAGTCAGTCAGGGGTATTCTCTTCAAAGTCGAAATGCATCTGCCTGAGACACAAGGAACCAACAGCCTGCATACACATAATCCAGTTATGTGTAAAAGATGCGCACGCAACACTCAAGTCCAGAATGGGACGAACAATCAGAACTTTCTTCCAGCGTTCAAAGTCGATGAACGCTAAAAAGAAAAAGGAATCAAACATTAAATCATTCACCCAAAACAAATCAATCAACTGGAACGAACCAGACAAAGCATTGCCAACTCTTGTCCTTCTGTACACGATATCCCCCATTCATCTTTCGTCCAAGTGTTAGTTCTAGTACCCAGTCTATCTCTCCTCCTTATTCTACTCTTTCCTCCACCAGTCCCTCGCTGAACAAGTCTCCTAGCCCACAGCGACAACCCCCCTGAACATAGCCACGAAACGCAGCAGCACTCAACGACCTGACGAGGGGAAAAGAGTGCGTCTTTCATAACCCAGAAATAAACCCCGACCTCTTCCCCACCTCGTAAACACTGGTTCAAATTCCACTAACTTTCCCCCAGTTTACCCCCTGCCTGTCTGCATTCATGTAACCAATTCTCTTTTTGCTTTTGCCAACGTTAAAAAAAACTGAATATCTAAATGAACAGCGATTCTGATATAGGTAAAGCCAGGAATAAATTACACATTTTTTGTCGAATAAAAGATAGCGTTGACAGAAAAATGCGTCTGTTTATTTAGGGAAATGGTGTTAAGTTCTATTTAAATGAGGTTATAGAACTTGTGTATCTGGGTTCATATTCTGTGTGCGTTTTTTCCCTTCAAGTTTTAGCCTTCATCAAATACGCTTGCTCACTGAAATGGCATCATATTGCGATATTATCTTTTTGTCGTCGATTTTTCCTATCCCCACAGTAATGTCTTTGAGAACATTACTTAGAGATGCTCCAGTCTCTCCCACAATACAACTCTCTGGAGGGGAGGTAGAGGGGGGGGGTGGGGAAGTGTAGTGTCAAGGCCCCCCCCCCCCCCCCCCCCGCTATTGTTTTCTTGGTGTCAGAGAACCTGACCGTAGCTAAACTATGGCGCCCATATTTTGCAGTGAAAGTTGACCTTTGTGACATGACATAGCGACAGTGAAGTCAGACACAATCGAAATACTTATTGATAATGATACCGATCTAAAAGTCCATATGGATACCTTTCTGACACGCCAATAAGTGCTCAGTCTCCCAAAGCTGATGTTTGTAAGTGTATCATGAATGTTGACATCTGTTCGACTTTCCAGACGATACTGTTCCTTTATGAAGATAGGCAGGCACATAAATCGCAGTCCATGGAGATGGCGAGTATGACTAGCGAGACTTCTCATGATAATAAGAATATTGCTCAATAGGTGCATGTGATTCCTGGATCAATGTTGTCACCAGATGTGTTTGAAATATTTCTTCTGAGACATTCAGCTTTTATTCTGCAGTCAGGTGAAGAAATGACGCTGGAGTTGGATAGGACACACGTTGAGAAAACCTGAGAGCAATATAACTAGAATGTCTTTGCACTGGAACCCACAAGGCATTTAAATAAATAGAAGACAGACTAAAATTGGAAAAGGAGCTAAAGAGTAAAGTTAAAAAAATATTGCAAGGACATGCAGAGAGCTACATGCGATAGCAACGGATGGAACGACTCGACTTGAGTTGGTTTAGGGGGCTATACTCCACTAGAAAAAGGCCAAAATAGAAGCAGTGATTTTCTCCTTTATTCCTATTACCTTCCTGACCCCCCCCCCTCCCCCTTTCCCCTTTGTTGCCAGCAACCCAGTCCATGGCATCACATGTCTGCCATCATACCTGTATCATTCATGTCCTAAGGACGTAATTTTTTATTATTTGAAGCCCCACTCTGGCTTTTGCCAGGGGCCGCAATATAGGCAGGCCATCAATATGGCCAATTGTCTGGGACCTCTCCACGGTGATCCTCATCCGCATGGTGGCACTTTGTGTCATCGGGTGTTTATCGCTTGTGTGATGTCCTAGTGGGGTAGAAAGTCAGTCAGTCAGTCATTCATGTCCTGCTTGCTGACATATTTTTATCATAGCTGAGGCCGACTTCGATGTCTTCTACCAATCTTCTGCTTCTTCTTCTCTTCTTTCGTTCGAGTGACACAATTATGTTGTGCATGTTTCAGCATAGCTCCGAAGTTTGTGTTTTTTGGCCGACACATCCGACTTCATTCGGGTATTTGTTGACCAGGTGAGCCTTCAAGGTTTGGACCCATATGTAATTCACTAGTTAGGATGTCCTTAGAGATTCTACGATCCTCCGTCCATCAAAGATATCTGCGATGGGAAAAGGGGCGGGGGGGGGGATTCTTCATCCTCTAAGTGTGTCTTGGCTATCCGAGACTTCGCAGAAGTTCTTCCTCTCTTTAGCAGAAAGTCTGGGCAGTACTGTAGAGATCATATGTTCCCCCATGTAGTCCGATCTCCCCTTCAGCTTGTTTTGTTACACGCATTAAACACCCACATACGCACACAAGGGTTTTTCAATTTGTAAAAGAAGTGAAAGAGACACAAAAGTGGCGAATAAACATTGTTTAACACTAAAATAGGAAAGAAACAAGAAGATAAAAAAAAATTTCTGCTTGTTATATGAATTTGCTATCTCTGCCCCCTCACGTCCCAAAAATGCGCACAGAACTTAGTTAAGTGAGTATATCGGAGTAATCTCTCACCCCGACATTCCTGTCGTCCCAAGTTTCCAAGAACTTGATATCATTTTACCCTACTTTCCCCAAAAATCTGGCTAACGACAAAAGCACATACATTTTTGTTAATGGAGCTGACATCCACCCCGCCCTCCACTCTATCCCCACCCCACCGTCAGCAGTTAGATAATGCCGAAGCGCTCACCCTCACGTGCTGGGAACATGCAAGTACAGTGCACATTCTTGAACTCGCAACTCCTACAGTGTGTTTACAGTTCCATGTGTTTTTTCCCCTCTCGCCACGCTGAATACTCAACAATGTGGGAGCCAAGTTTTCACAAAGGACATGCCAGAAATACCATGACTTCAACTGTCTCGCGGCCTTTCCATCATTGAGTCCAAGACTTCAGCATTCTTCCAGTTATCTCTCTGTCTGTCTGTTGACCTCCTTCCCTGCAAGGTCGTGTGGCAGAAATGCTTGGTTTACAAGGTGGGTGGGAGAATTAACAGTCGGACATTAAGTGTAGGGACAGATTTACAGGCCAAAAATTGACAGACAGACAGACAGACAGACAGACAGACCGACAGATAGACCGACAGATAGACCGACAGATAGATAGATAGATAGATAGATAGATAGATAGATAGATAGATAGATAGATAGATAGATAGATAGATAGATAGATAGATAGATAGATAGATAGATAGATAGATAGATAGATAGATAGATAGAGAGAGAGAGAGAGAGAGAGAGAGACAGACAGACAGACAGACAGACAGACAGACAGACAGACAGACAGACAGACAGACAGACAGACAGACAGACAGACAGACAGACAGACAGACAGACAGACAGACAGACAGACAGACAGACAGACAGACAGACAGACAGACAGACAGACAGACAGACAGATAGATAGATAGATAGATAGATAGATAGATAGATAGATAGATAGATAGATAGATAGATAGATAGATAGATAGATAGATAGATAGATAGATAGATAGATAGATAGATAGATAGATAGATAGATAGATACACATAAACATATGGGTAAGCAGTTACATAGATGAGCAGACAGACCCAAATAAATTATTTTTAAAGGATTGCTATTTGGGCACGCAGTCCCGTCTTACATTTAGTCATTCCAAACACTCTTCTTTCTTACTGCAGTTGCATTTTATTGGTAAAGCATGTTATGTTCATGCAACAGTCAACGCGTGGGTGCCTTTCTGTCCCATTAGCCATGCAAACTCGCCTGTGCCAGATGCTACCTCCATTTTCATGCTAGAAGTAATTAAACGGAATGCCAGAATTGTCTTCTTTTATCAGATGCTGCCACAAAGTATTGACAGACTTACTACACAACCACATGTTTCTACCTACAAACTCCTTGCTGCCTTCGTTGGTCTCTTCTCCTCCCCTCCTCTACCATTCCCCACCATTTCCCTCAAAAT